CATCACCCATAGTTTTCCGAACTACGTTGACTCTAACTTTCCCATTGCACGAGGGAATACGTAGGCATAGGGCGGCGATGTCCTATCGAGTCTCTTTCTTTTCCTTTTGTTCTCGTTTTTGTTTAGCATTAGCTTATAGATAAACACACCCCTTTATTAGACAACAAGCGTGGATCTCGTTGAGTACAACAGACATGAGGGGTGTTAATACCTTCCTTTTGCGTAACCGACTCCCGAACCCAAGATTTGGTTACGATGGCCTTGTCTTTTCCCGTTCTTCAGGTTTTCTTCGATCGTTTCCTTTCCCTCTCTTTGGGATAAATAACATTTGATGGTGACTCTTCTATTTTTATGTTGAGTGTTTTTCACAGTTGCGGCAACTGGCGACTCTGCTGGGGATATCTATCAGATGATCCCTATGCGAGTCAATCCTAGCGTTTGTCTGTTTTGTGTCTTTGGGTGTTTATTTTTGTGCAGTTATTTGCTTTTATGTACATTATCATGTTATATATTATTGCATTTGCATTTTATTGTTATATTATGTTGTTGTTGCTGTGTTGTGGGTGGGTTGTTCCATTGAGAGTTAAGCCCAATACACAAGCCTGAGTATACACACAAGATTAGTGTGGAGAGTAGCGGGAGCTTGTGTGGCGTTTGGCCACATAATAGCTCGCGCGAAATTCACGTCCAGACGATATTTTTCTTTGGAGACACTCTATCATGCGCGTCTGGTGCAGTTGAGGGAGTATTGACTTAGAAAAACTAACGACTCTGGAGACCGTTCATTGGGAAGTCAGTTGAAACCTCCTTGATTGACCATGATGCCAAACCAGAAATGGTGAACGTATCATCGTCTCTCGACCTGAGAGTCCATGATACTGATGACCTGCATAGGATGTCATACCATTTTAAGATTAGAACTCACATGTGAGAGGGAAGGGTTTTGCAGGAAACCTTGACTTTCAACCAACCCGGTTTTATGTTTTTCTCATCCGAGCGGACCTTTGATCCTGAGTACTCCGGTTTTCTACTGTCTCATTGTCTTGATTTTATGGATTTCTTATTAGGAGCTATGGTTGTATTCAGTCAACAGTACAACAACATGTTTAAGTATTGAATACCTTGATCCCATGTTTGCATCTGCATAATCATCCTGCATTTAACATTGCATGTCTGTGTGTTTACAGGTTCTCGTCTCTCCCTTGATTCTGGTCCTGGTCTTTCGTAGAGATGGAAGTAAGGAGAAAGAGGATTGTTGTATACAAGTTTCTGGCACCTGAGTTAGGATCTTTACTTTGTCTTATTTTCATGGCTGAGTCTGGCGTCCTTGAAACCTTCAAAAAAGATTATGGGAGAATTATGAATTTTGTCCGTAAGATCACGAGTTATGATCATGGAGTTATTCATACCTTGTTGCAGTTTTATGATCCACTGTTGCGATGTTTCACTTTCCCGGACTATGTGTTGGTTCCAACTTTGAAGGAGTTCGCTTTCATCTTATGCGTTCCAGTCCAAGATGAAGTGTCATTCTTTTATTCAGAGGAAGAACCCGATCTCGAGAAGTTGGTCCCCGCTCTTTATTTGGGCGAACCTAAGTTGGTTGACCATGTTGTCAACAGGAATGGAGTCTCCGACTTTACTTTATCTTTCTTGGTGGATAAAGCCCAGAAGTATGTTGAAGAGGGTTGTTGGGTGGTCTTCAGTGTTATCTTGGCTTTGTGCGTCTATGGCATTGTGTTGTTTCCTCATATCGGACTTTGTTGATTTTGATACTTTTCATATCTTCGCTTCCAGGAATCCCGTACCTACTCTCCTATGAGATTTGTATCATTCAGTACATTACAAGAACGAGAAGAGAAAAGGAAAGATGGTTTCTTGTTATGCATCACTTCTTCACAAGTGGTTTATCGATCATCTTTCTTGCTCTGGAGCTTTTGTGGATTCAAGGAATTCATCTAAATGGTCAAAAAGACTCATGGGTTTAACAGTCAAGGATATCGCCTGGTTCAACCGAGACCTTCTTGGTCGGGAGCTCATCTTTAGTTATGGTAGCTTCCCTAATGTGCCTTTGATAGGGAGGAAAGGCGGTATCAACTACAATCCTTCTCTTGATGTCAGACAATTTGGTTATGCTTTGAGGGGACCTCTGAAGGAAGAAGAAGTGCAGGAATCTATGTACTTCATTAGTGTAGCTGACTCTTGTCTTCTGGCCAAATTCGTTGATGCGTGGGGTAAAATCCATAAAAAGGGGAAAGCTTTCTTTGGGCAAAGGTGATTGCAGATCTTGTGACCCCTACTTGGATTGGGTTCAGAAGAGAGTTGAAAGGGTACTATTGGCATTCCCTGCTGAAGAACCATTGTATCTCCTGATGGTTAAGCAGCCTACAATGATCGACATCCTGAGATATAACAAGCTTTGGGCAGAGAGGGAAGAGTTGCACAAAGAGAATGAATAGTTAAAACAGGAGATGAGTCAGCTGAAGCATGATAAAGGTGAAGCTGTCAACTTGGCCAAGACGAAGTCAGAATCATTGACCCAGTTGGAGAAAGAGCTAGCCGAGCAGATAAGGGCACGAGAGCGGATCGGTCAGGATCTAAAAAGCACATGCATCATTTTGAAACATAAGAAGGAGGATTTAGACAGAGTGTATCTGGAGATATCCAAATTTAATGAGCAATAGAATGCTACTTTGACCGCCAACAAGAACAGGGAAGGCCAGCTTCGTACTCAGATTGATAAGCTGAAGGCGCAACTCAAGGTCAAGGAGAAAGAAGTAATGGTGGAATCGTCCCGTAGGTACACGTTTGAGCAGAAACTCCACGAGACTTTATCAGCGCTTGAAGAGCTCAAGATTCGAGTAGGTGCGACGAAACCCAGGCTTGAAGATGCCTTCGGCGAGGATGCTTGGGAAGACTATTGTCATTGTCTCCGAGATGTGATACGCAGAAAGGACATCCTCATCAGAGAGTTGGTTGTCAGACCAGACCATCCAGATACGAAGACGATGCTTAAGGAGGCTCAGGCATAGAGCAAGGAGCATGATTGCTGGGGAGGATTATCTTCTAATATGTCACAGTAGTTTCTTTGCTTTTGTATCTTAATCGCCACTAGATCTGTTGGATGAGATCAGTACCTTTTTGTATTCGGATCTTTCTCATTTGTTGTTATGTATTGTCTCAGCTTTACTAGATATATGAGAAGATTTTGGTGGTATTCTTACTCATCTTTGTTGTTCTTGTTTATTGAAACTAGAATCAAGGGGGATATCTCTCTGTAAATATATAGACATGTTTGCATTTTGCATCTTGCATTCTCATTTGCATCGCAGGTGTTCTCAGTGGACTTTTGTTCTTATCTCTGCTTGGTTTTCTTCAGTAACAGGATTGAGGAGTTCTGTTTCCAAAGATATCCAACTCGAGGGAATCAACAAAAAGTAATGGATCATTACATTTCATGGTGTCTTCCTTAATTTCCACAGGATTGAGGAGTTCACTTACCTCGTGCAGTATTTCACTTCTTCCTTGCTTTTTGTTCTTCCTTGCTCTTTACATTCCATGGTGTCTTCCCAATTCGTTCGCAGATTGTTGATGAGGTTATGGAAGCAACTGAAGAAATTAGGGGAATTATGAAGAAATTAGGGCTCTTTGATACATAAACACGGTTCAAATTCTTTTACAGGTTTTTCACAACTAATAAAAATACAAATTTTATGCCATGTCATTAAATTGACAACTATTTAAATGTCTTGGCATCTGACTGAGCATACCCGATCACCATTTTGAGCGCCACATAATCAAAACAGAAGGGGGATTAAAAAATTTCAAAAAATGACAACTTGAGGGACTAAAAGGTTGAAAAAATTAAAAAGAGAACTAAAACGTTAAAATTTTGTAAATAAAAAAGAAATAAAAGTGAATTTAAGCCATAACTTTATTATACCTCTAGTGATTTAAATAAATAAATAATAGTAATAATTAAAGAAAATTCATCTTTTAAAATTGAAACAACAATGGTTATTATACAATTAAATTGTAAGAGGTCGGGGTAAAGTTTATAGAGACAAAGAAATACAATTAAATTGTAAGAGGTCAGGTAAAGTTTATAGGGACACAAATACAATTAAGTTGTAAATTATATAAGAAAAAATTATAAATGAAATACTTTGCCCTTAATAATGACATGTCATGTGTCACATTTTTTTAATTAATGTGTCAAAGTTATAACTTGGAGTTGTAGAGTATCATTTTTTAATAAGATAATTAATGTAAAATTTGTTCAAACTATATTGATATAGATATGATACAAATTAACCGTTGTAACTTTTAAGTTTAGACAAACAATACAATAATCATATCTGGAGCATCATCATAAAACTTACACATGAGTGTTTCTTCTCAATTAAAATTTAATAATCAATTCACAAACTTGAGTTTTTCTCAATTAAAATTTAAACATCAATTCACCATGTTGTGAGACATTCTCTCTCCCTTAGATCCAACAACCTTTTCCAAAGAACAAAAATCAGATAATAATTTTTAAAAACTAACTTTTATTAGTGAGGGATGCCACTAGTTTGTGTAATTTAAATACAAGTGAATTGGTTACGTTTTATGATGGAAAAAACAACCATGTGTTCGATTCTAGGAAGTGTTATGTAATTTTTGTCATTTCTTTTCTATACTATAAGTAGGCCTATATAAATGGAGTTAATATTGCTAAAATTTGTGTCATGCCAGATTCAATCCTTAGACCTGATAGTCTGATACATCCATAAAAACACAAAACCGCTGTGCCACTGTTTACAATTTGGTAGTTAAGTGCGGATCATTTTATATATAAAAAATACGAAAATCAAAATAGAAAACTAGATGCAGTTGCCCTGGAGTATATGACCAGCTATTGAAAACGCTAATCCATTAAGAGAACCAAATTCTTCATTTTTTCAGGTCAATCTCTTCTTTCAAGAACATTTTCAAACATAATTTCCATAACAATCATGCTAACTCATTTCTCTTTTTAATGCACTCCTTTCATCTTCATTTTCATCAGCCTTACTGATACAGTCATTTATTTTGTAATGACTCCAAGACACTCTTTTCCTTCCTTTACAAACCCCATTCATCATATTCATATTCATACCCAACCCAATTTGTTTCTCTTCCTCCTTTCCAATTTTAAACTTCACCCTGCCTCTTCCCTTTGCCAACTCCGTCGCAGTGTCTTTCTCTTCTTTTTTGTTTATGTCATTGCTCTTTAACATGTCACTGCTTTCCTCTTTATTACCAGTACAAGCTTCCATTGCGAGCAAATGCTCCCACAATTTCTCCCCACATTTCCTCTCCTTTACTAAACCCCCTTCAGACTTTTTATATAAGCTTTCCTTAGGAAAATCTGGGAGCCAACTTGGTATATGCAACCCTTTTGGTTTTGCTTCCTCTAAGCAACATGTTGATGTGCCAGAATCAGTGATTACTTCGGGATTTTTTGATGGAATTGGTTTGGAAAATGGCACTTCTTTGGAGAACTTGACGAAACTCATTATATCTTTTAGAGCTCCAGAGCTCAGCAAATTACTTGTATGCATTTTTGAACCACCGGGAACTCCACGAACAGAATACATATCATGAATGCCATTAATGAGGTCAAAGAGGTTAGATTCAGTACGGTTGGATGCATTGGTAAAAGAGGCAGCTGATCTTGCAATGGCTTCGAGATATTTTGTGGTAACATTAGTTAAGGCTTCAAGAGCATCGTATTTGGATCTTTTGTAGCCAACTGATTGGCAGATCTGAGAAACTGCAACTTTGGCTATATCAAATGAGAATTCTGAGGGGGTTTTTGCTACTTTAGCGTCTTTTACTCGTAGCCCCCTTTTCTTTTTGCCTTTTACCCTTCGGGGTAGCTTTGATGTGCTTCCCCCTTGCATAGGGTTCATGGCCGAATGAAAGACAAAAAGAAGGAAGATATAACTCAGAACCCTATGCAAAGCCCCTAGAGTCGGGATTTGTCCTTAAGCAAAGATGCAAACCAGCTCCTTTCCATAACAAAATACACTGAAGATCATAACAAAATACACTGAAGATGGATAGGCATATAAAAAAGAGACTAATAACTTAGTGAAACAGATGAAAACAATATACAGAAAATTATGCAGTCATCGCTCTAACAAAGGTGGAAACAAAATATACAAACAAAACCGCTAGGATAGTGCTTGTAAACCAGATTCCTTCAAATGGGCATCTACATATAGTAGATAGAATAAGAAACTAAAACTCTGTTCACCAATCCAAAAGTGTTTTTAGTTTGCTATCCAAGTAATTTATATCTCCAAAAGAAAACTCTCTAGTTTCTGTTCTTCATTATTTCTGCATATTCATGATTTAATGGCTCAACTTCAGCATATATTCTCATCCCATCAATATTTTCTTCCCCAAATACATAGAACACTATACCTACTTTCTTCTCGCATCTCTCTTTCCAGTCTATTTTTGCTTCTATATTTCTTTAACTTCTTGTATATCAGCCCCTTTGGTATTCCATTCAACCGTATTCTCAACTAGTGAATCCAAACCTCCAATCCAATGACATTCCCCATCAAAAATTCAAATGTCAATTGCATTTTCATGAACCCTTCTAGCTTTTAAATAGCTCATAATAAGATGCCTAAAACAGCACCCAAATAATCATTCACTTAGGGTAAAAATAGTAGTAATAACCACTATGTATTACACCATTCCCCAATAGGGCACCTTGTTCCCAGGCACAAAAGAGGCACAAAAGAGAACAAGCAAAAACTACAATTTCCTTGCAGCGGCACATTAACAGCAGACCAAAACCAACATATCCTCAAACAGCTTATTAGCATTATTCATTAGTAAAACATGGTAGATCAGTATAATAATTCTTCATTAAAAAATTACTCTAGTTATAAATACTGTAGCACGGACACCTCTAAAAAAGGTGTGTCTGTGTCCGTGTCACTGTCACTGCACAGGCACTTGTGATTACATTTAATTTATTATTTTTTTAAATTATTATCGGTGTGTCCGTGCTTCATAGGCTCTATACAAGAGTTCAACAACAAAGCATTCATTTAAAAAACCAGTATCATTAATAATGTATAAACATTTTGAGTAATCATGATAAATAAGCATTCAGTTTTGAGTAATTTCAGCATCAAGATGATAATAAACGCACATTAACACAACCAATAAGCATGCAATAAAAAAGATTAACTAATCAATACAAAATAAGCACACACAAAAAAATACACATGAAACGCAGTGACTGTACAGTCATATAAAGATCGTTAACTAGAGGAGCAGAGTAATAGTGCAGAGAAATTAGGCATTACCTAGTTCAGCAATTTGTAGAAGAAGTAGTGAGAGTGAGTGACCAATCGTAGGGTTTTTCTTCAAAAATAAAAATCCGTTAGTGATTTCAGTTACAGAGAAAAGGACGAAACGAGAAGGAAGCGGGCCGATGGAGACCTAAACGAGGCGTTGCGTTGAATGGAGCTGCGATGAGGAAAGCGATTGTTGGTGGAATGTGAGAAGAAACTGTCTCCGTCGCTTGTGCCGTCGCCGCAAGCGTTGTTTGAGGAGGAGGAAGTGGAATAAATAGGAAGTAGAACGGCACAGGGGGAAGTTTGAAGAGTGAGGGATGAATCCACCTAAGCTAGCTTAATATTGAAGTGGTCCTATGCATAAGAAAATATAATTTGGGCTTTAAATGTGCTAGGGCACTCTCTCCTACCATTATTGTGTGAAGTTGAAATTTCCTTCATTTTTTAAAAGAAATAAACGCATTGTAAGTTTAGTTTAGTTTTTAGAAGAGGTAACAATAATTCTGAAATATATACTCCTATAAATTTTTGAAATGATTTTGAGATGTTTGATTTTTATAAAGATATGTTTAATTTTGTAGTGAAGAGAATTAATTATGTGTTAATTGATTTTGTAAAATTGATTTGAATTAAAAATGAGTTTAATGTAAAAAGATTTATATTTGGATAATTGATTTTTGAATGATTTTAAAGTGTTTGATTTTCCTAAAGTATAATTTATTGTCTCCATAATTGATTTTATTTAAAATTATAATTTGTAGCTTTTGAATTTAAACATAATTTTTATATTAAAATTTTTATTTAATTTAAATTTGTATAAAGTTATCTAAATATGAACCACTTTACATTCAATTCACTTTTAATCGGAATTAAATTTACATAAACAATTTATTTAAAATCTTTTTTTTTACCGCATAGTCAAACATACACTAAAAAAATTAAGAATGATAAGATACATTTTCGTTTTATTTATCTTTCTTTCGATGAATTTTTTATTTTATTTTAAAATTTTGAATGAATTTTAATCTTTTAGCCCCTAAATGATATTGATATTGTAATAATAAAATTTTAAAATAAAAAATATATTTTAGAAGTTAAAATTTTAAAAACCATAAAGAATAAAAAATTTATACTTTTTTAAAATTGTTGATTTATAAATATCAACAACTTATTTACGTTAATACATATATAAATAAATATTGTCGTTGAACCATATACTATCAGTTTAGATCGTCAATAGAACGGGAAGGAAACAAATGTTACCTTCCCTAAACCCAAACCTGAATTCCCTACCAATTTACTTGTCTAACCAACTTCATCTATCTCGATCATGGTTATTTTTTATCATCTCATATTGGCATACCCTCATTTTTCACCCCTATCATTCTCAGCATCTACTCTTCATACCATTTCATTAGCATATCACTTGATCATTGATTTCACTGGCATGGTTGTTCATCAATTTGTGTATGAAGGATGAAGATTAGGGTTTCTCTTGATTGCCCTCCTAAGGCTTTTTACCTTTTGTCTTATATCCTTAGTTGTTTCATGCTTGTTGCCTTCATGAATGAGGCTTGATACTTGTTACATGTCATCTAACCAAAATACCAAGGATATGTGGTACTTGCTTTGTTCTTCTTTATGTTTAACTAGGTTTGCAAAGGTGGGATCAAAATGTTTATTGTCAAGGCCAATTGAGAATGCTAATACTTTTGTAATTAAGTGGAGGCTCATTTTTGTTGTGGTTCATGATTTTGTCATCAAATGTGAATTCTTGGCTAATCATTTTCTTAAGGGGAAAAGTTATCATTCATGTCCAAATGCTCTTGCAAGATTGATTCAAGTATGTTCAACATAGAATCAAGATTTTGCATCCATCTTAAGGTAGTTTTAAGTGAATTGATCCAAATATGATTTAAAATGTGTTTTATATTGGCTTTGGATGCAAATTCAAGTGTTGCACTATTCTTGTCATCAACATAGAAACAAGGCCATCCAATCCAAAGTCATGCATCATGGTTCAATGACCAATTTGGTTTGGATTCACTCTTAAGAGTGGTACATGGTTTCAACAAGTAACCATTATTCATGCAATGTAAGCTAAGGATCAAAGATGGAATTCATGAACATGGTGGTGTCATACCCTAATTTTTACCCCTAAGGCCTCACCTCATTTTCATATTTGCAATGCATCAAGATCACAAACTTGGTTGTCTTTTAACCCTCTCATCTTTGGGTTTACCTTTGTAGAGAGCATCAAGCACCTTTTTATGTAGCTTTAACATTTTTTGTACTTATATGCTTTATAACTCATTAACCATTAATCAAAATACAAAAAATATGCTTTGTCCCTTTTGCTTCTTTTGCAAGGTAGGGTTTGGAATAAAGAGCATCAATGATTGTCTCCTCAGCTATGGTTTGAGTTTCTCAAGTCATAGTATGGTCAACCAATTATTTTCAAAGGCTATTCATCAAAGCATGACCTATAATCTCAAATCATAGGGTCTTAAGCATTATTCAACTTCATTTGATTAAATATGTTTCAAAGTTTGATAGCTTGTTTCTCAAGAAACATCGAAGGCTCATGTGTTTATTTTCATTCCTTCATCAACAAGTTTCCTCAAGTCATTGCAAATTACATCAAAGGGAAATCAAGAGTACATCATTTTTAGTTCATATATGCATCAAAGTGCCTTGAAATACAAGAAAAAATCCAAGGTTGCAAGTTCATTCAAAGAGGTTTGACCTAAAAGGTCAACATTCTAAGTCCAACTTCCAAATATCATAACTTCTTCATAATTCAACATTTATGAGTGCTTCTTTGGGAAAATGACTCCTTCTGTCATCCTGTACAACTTCTCTTTATAAGTAAAGAGTCAATTATGCTTGTAAGATCATCAAAATTTTGGAAACATTAGAGGTCACTTTGTAGACATAGTGAAATTTGACCTAAATTCAAGTGATATTTGCCTAACTTCCAAAGATCATAACACTCTAAATTTTCAACTTTTGTGAGCAGTTCTTTTTGCCAATTATCCTATTTGATACCCTCTACAAGTTTGTTTCAAGGATAAAAGGTCAATTATACTTGGAAAGTCATGAAACGTTTGAAGACATTATAGGTCATTTTGGACTTAGAATTATTTTGGCTTCTAATCACAAGTCATGGTGCCAACTTCATAGGGACATAACTTTTTTCTCAGATGTCCAAGTGAAACTTTTCTTTTTGCATTGTATTCTTTGTTATGATGTGATCATTTAGTAAAAACAATAAGCATTAAAGGTCAAGTGTACAAGATTTTCCATTGGTTTGAAATTGGCCTCATGGAACTGAAAATTGCTCATGGTCAGAATTTGCAAATCACAAATTACTCCAAATTGAGCCAAACTTTGCACATGTTTTGTCCATGATGATGTTAAGTGATACCTGAGGATCAAAAACGACCCAAAATTAGAAGGATTAAGTTGTGTTTTGGTGATTTCACAACTAAGAATGATCACACTTTTGGTGCACATAATTTCACATGGTTTGCAACCAATTCTCACATGTATTCCATTTATTCACCTCAGCTATAAATAGAGGAAGCTTC